TGGCTGTCCAGTCTGTATTTTTGAGCCAGAAGTCTCCTCCAGCCCTTAGAACACTCTCTCCATTTGCCTACTTGATGGAGTTACTAAGGCTTCCAACAGGCAGTGCAAAGTCAACTGTCCAAAACCAAATTCTTTCCTCCCTAAACACACTCCTTTTCCATTCCTCTACTTGGAGGCCTCCTGAAGATGCTTGGATGACAGACTCATCACCAGGGTGCTGGGCCCTGTGTCTGGGCTTGTGTCCTTTATCCCACACCCTCATTGACAGTCCGCCGCCTGCAGTGTGGTCATCCTGCCCCCAGTTTCTCCTGTTCCAGGCCTCTTCTTTAAAAGTCAGTGGGAGTTCAGGCCTTCGTTATGTCCGGCCTGCATTCTTGTGCAGCTAGTTGACCGGTTCCGTGCCTCCCACCTCCACGGCCTTACCTGCGCAGCTCCACTGAGGACCTCTAGCCTTTTGATCTGATCACATCTCCCCTCCGTCATGTTCTAGTTCCCTACCCCCTCCCACCCTGCCCGTTATGTTCAGGGTGAAATCCAGCCGCTCATCGGCCGTCCTTCCTCTCACCCTTCTGAGCTGGGCATGTGCTCCTGTGAGCACATCGTCTGCCCCGATCTTGCAGGCTTTATGTCTAGTGGCCCCTCTTCTGGATTGTTTTCTCCTTTGCCCGCCACCCCATGGGGCAAATTCCTGTTCTTCCTGCCAGCGGGTGAAAATGCTGCTTCCTGAACGAAGTCTCCCTGACTTTCTCGCCTGTAGGGTCAATACGTGCTCCCCTCTGCTCCCTCCCTCACATTGTCCTGCATTAGCTTGGGTCTGGGAGGCCAGAGAGACGCTGTGGCTCCCCACCAGCCTCTGGGTCACATCATAAGAGGAAGTCCTCTGTCCTGAGCATGTAACCTGTGTCAGACCCCGACCTTCCCATGAACCTTGGAGGAGTACAGTGTGCCCCGTAGCTGTGAGCACCATTGCACCCATGTTAGAGATGAGGAGACTGAGGCTCAGAGAGGTGACATGAGCTGCCTAAGATGACTCTGCTAGGAAGCCAGCAGGATTTGAAGTCAGACAGTGTCCCTCCAGAGCCTGAGCTCTCAGCTCTCTGCAGGTTGTCCCTTTGAAAGTGGGGGCCCAGCAGAACGTTGTCCCCAAGTGAGTAAAGTCCAAGGGGGAGTCAGTAGCTATGACTGGCAGAGCTCAGAAACCTTTAGGAGGCGGTGGCTTGTGAGCAGAAGGAAACCATCTTCGGTCCTCCGAGGAATAAATAAGGATAGCTGCAATTCAGTCATTTTTGTCTTAGGAAGTGTTTCCTTTAAAGTTGCAAGTCACTGAATTTGTAGGTACTCAAAATTAGTTAAAACCCCAGTGTGCGTTGGTGTTTGTATCTGTGTGCACACAATGGGATATGCGTGCATGTGTGTTTATACTCATATATATGCACAGGGGCTCCCCCTTACCCACGGAGGAGATGTTCCGAGACCCCCCAGTGGATGTCCAAACTGTGGATCGTTCCGAACCCTATATGTACCGTGTGTTTGCAGACACATGCATACCTATGATAAAGGTTAATTTATAAATTAGGCACAGGAAGAGATTAACAACAATAACCAATACTAAAATAGAACTATTACAACAATATCCAGTAACAGAAGTTAACATGAATGTGGTCTCTCTCAAACATCTCATTGTACTATATATGCAGCGTGGACACACTGGACGAACGGGTGACTCATGTCCTAGGCTGGGCGGAGCAGCACGGTGCCAGATCTCACCACGCTGCTCAGACAAGCACGCGACTTAAAACTGATGGTTTATTTCTGGAATTTTCCATGTAATATTTGTGGACCGCAGTTAACTGTGTGTCACTGAAACCGCAGAAGGCAGAACCGCAGATAAGGCGGGGGCTGCTGCGTGCTTGTGAATTATTGCATATTCACATGAGATATACACATGTACTCACGAACATGGGGATATGGGGTGAAAGTTATTTACATAGCAATATACGTGATTTCCTCACGGTCAAGTCATCCGACCCTCTCCAGATGTCAGCTGGACATGGAGCGTGCTGGAGAACAATGTGACGAGCTAGGAAAACATGCTTCTTGCAAACCCCAGTTGCGTCCTGGTGGGTGTCCCGCTAACTGGCAACCCCGTCTCCCCTGCAGACTGCAGAGAGCTTCTGCTTCCTATGATGACGGATCAGCTCAAGTACCATCTGGAGAGACAGGAAGACCAGGAGGCCTGCTGCCAGCTGCTGAGCAACATCCTGGAAGTACTGTACCGCAAGGACGTGGTGAGTCATGGCCNCTTGCGCACTCACACGCGCTTGCGCACACGCACTCTGGCACACTCTCCTCTGGCTCAGCATGGACACCGTCCAGTGAGACTGGGTCACCAGAAAGGAGGGATGCGGCTGTCCCTCCGGCATCTTCCAAGGACAGGGCAGGCTGTTCTAGACTGTAGGCCCCTCCTGCACCCTTAACAGAAGTGTTGTGGTTTCCTGATGAAACGAATGTGGACAAAGTAAACATCAGCAACCGTCTGGCTAGGAGGAGAGAGCGCTTCTTCACAGCGAGTGAACGTGCGCACGTGTGTACACACACGCACATGCACACGCGCACACACACACGAACTACCTTTGTCAGGTCTTGGGTTGTGTGCAGGGGCTACTCCCATTCATGAGAATAAGATCTCTGCTCTCACTGCAACCCGGTTCAGAGAAACGTAACAGAACCAATGGTTATGCCCGGAGGCCCATGAGTTGGGCATCTGAGGCCTGTCTGTACCCAGGTCAGTCGGTGGGCTGTGCTGGGTCCTGCAGATTGCAGCCGGCTTGTGCGGCCTCCAGCTTTCGGTTTTCCAGCCTCTCTGAAGGAGCCTGGGCATTGCTTTTCTTCTTTTGCTGTCCTGGGGTGTTTTCTGAAGGGTGCTGCTGTCCCTGTGACCTTCTGTACTTGGAGGCCTGCATAAAATGCCTGGTGTGGTCCGTGCAACCTTTAAGGACAGCCTGGGAACCTGGTCCTTTGATCAGTGTGTAGTCAGGGGCCGGAGGTCTGTCTTCAGGCTGCGAGGTGGTGGTCCTCCACACGGGAACACTGAGGTGCTTTTACAGTCCTCCTGCATGTGTGGTCTCACCTCATCCTCTCGGCGACCTGTGCTTAGCCCATTTGCCCACTTTTTCTGGACCAGCCATTGGTGGGGTGGGTTTGAAAACACCCCAGTTGTGGATTCCAAAGGATTATAACACGTGGATTTCTATGTTCTCAAGGGGCTAAGACAGGGGTCGGCAAACTTTTGAGACGGAAGAGCTGCCAGAGGTTGGCAAACTGCGGCTGGCGAGCCACATGCGGCTCTTTGGGTACGTGCATGTGGCTCTGAAGTAAAATTGAAAATGACAATGAAACTATCATAGTTTCATTTATAATATTACTTTAAGTTTTCCTTATTTATAAATATATGTGTATGGATCTCAAATAGTTTTTAAGTTGTTGTGAGGGACAGGATGGGCTCTTCCAGGGGCGGCAAACTTTTGAGACGGAATGTACCCAAAGAGCCGCATGTGACTCGTGAGCCACAGTTTGCTGACCCCTGGGCTAAGAAAATGAAATGTCTTTAAATGTGGCAAAATGGCCATGAAGGTTTCAAACTCTTTGTTGCTTCTCATCAAGAGAGGCTGGATAACAAACAGCTAACCCTTGGGCTGGGGCACAGTGGGCGTTCCCCCCAGGTAGCCAGAGATGGTTGACAGCCGAAGATGAACAGGGCAGCCGTCGCTTCCTTCACCCTGGAGTAATTCTGACAAATGAGACCAACACACTCAGTTACCTCTGAGAACAGCAAAGACCGCAACTGCCTGTCCAGTGTGACAGATAAGGGGGACAGAAAGGGATGGATTTCGGCCAGGCCATCTGGGTACCCAGAACCGGAAGGGCCATTCGTGCCAGCTTTGCATCTAGACCTGTGCTCCCCTGATCTCCTAGGGCCGTTCGTGGACACACCCTCCTCCCCACCTGGGCAGGCCCCTCTCTCTGTGGGTCCCTCCCATAGCCATCTGCTTTCTTCAGTCACATTGTCGGGGTCATTCTTAACTTGCTCAGATGTTCATGGCTCTAACTCCTCCCTCTGAGTTCTTGAGAATTTGACTTGTTCTCCTGAATGGTGGCTGTGATGGGGGATGACCAGGAAGTCATAGACTGCGGTGGCCGGTAGTTCATCCCTGTGGAGGGTGGTTTAGTGGTTGTACCCGGCAGTGTGTTTCAGACTGAAAAGAAGGGGGTCCATCCTGGAGATGTCCACCACGAGGCAGGGCTGGGCTCTCAGAGGTGGCGTGTAGCCCCTGCAGTGGGCACTGTGTTGTGGTCAAGGTCGACAGGTCAGGAGCTCCTAAGGGCAGAGAAGGTGTGTGAACGTCCACATTCTATGGGAAGGACATTGGGCTTTGGGATGTTGGTGGGATTCATGTATTTGTGTGTCTGCATTTTGGGCAGATGCATTTTCAGTCTGGATTCCCTGCCACGAACTCATTTTCTTGAGGTGTTTCCTTGGACTGGCTTCGTCCTTGGGTACC